GGGGCGACGAAATTTTCCTCCGCCCCGGGCGGCTGACACCCACGCTACGCCAATGCCCCCCCACACAGTCTAACATCCACACATAGAAAAAACCTCGAATCTTTTGCATATCTCGAAATTTTACGGTGTCCTGAGTCAAAAAATGTAAAAATTTGGGAGGGGTCATTTTTTGACCGAGCGCTACACTTTTCCTCTGTTATATATAACAACCGGAAAAGTAAAAATTATTGAATACATATTTATATATTACTTAGAGAAGTCTTTCAGCTTTGGAATAAAAAGTTTCTACGCTCTGTCTTTATTAGAACTCTATCTATTGAATCTTTTATTCTGAGGTCACGTGATGACATCAGAATTTCCGGGTCTCTTTTGGTAACAAATCCGCCCCTAGTCGGAGTCGGTAGATTTTTACGCGACTCCACAGCCCTGGTAGTTATGCATTGTTTCTGTAATTCTTAAATTTCTGACTACATGACACAGTGTTGTTTTAGTATGGTAGCTTTCTGTAATGCGGTGTTTATACTTTCTAAAATTTCTGTATGGTGGGTGTGTGTGTGTGTTATTACACTTGTGCAAGAAAAAACTACAGGCATAATAAGCACTTCCATCCATTATCCACAGATGCTTTATTTCACCAATAAGTTCTGATTATTATACTAAAGAAATAAGTAATTCATTTTGTATGTTGTGGCTGTTTTGTACAGTTATATCTGTGGTTATGGCTTTATCAATAGTATATTTTGTGTATATTATTTTCTATGATTTTGTATTAGTAGTATGGTTCCTGACTGTTTAATAGTTTGTTTGTGTGCAAGCTTTTAATGTTATATTTGCTATTTGGTTATGTCAAAGTATTCAGCTTTGTTAAAAGCAGCAACCTGATAACTCTTATGGCATTTTCTACAAGTGTCATGAATGTGTCTTTTAAAATGTGATTCTTGTAATTTCTTGTATTTATGACCTGGTCTTCTATGGCAATCACAAACCCTGTCATCTCAACAAAGAAGCATCCAGAAGTTTAATGCAGTTCTGTCAACATGATCCTGACCAAGAGTATCAGTGCTTAGAGTGAGGCTCCTACATCCAAGACTGCTTCATAGTGCTTGTCTCTCTTGTGCACTGTGTAGATTTAATAATGTATAGTTTTTGTTTGCAAGAATTACAACTTTGTATAATTATGGTGGTGATTTTTTCATTAAAAAAAATCACTATGTTTGCAGTCTCTTACAGTATTTGTTTGTTGTGAAGATTTATAGATATAAGGTCTTGTCTTCCCTCTTTATGAAGAAGAGTCAGCCTTCTATTGATGACTTAGGATTGTTATGTCTTGTTAATGTTCATGCTTTCCTTTGGAATGTTCTAGTTGTGTGTGTCCAATGTATGATATATATGTTGACTGCACTAATTTTGCATTCAGCTGTGTTACTGGTAATTAGTTCAATTTGCTGTTGTATTCTTTTGTTAGTCTTTATCTTATTTGGGCATGTTCTGTGAGTTTGGCCTGTTGGAATCCTACATATATAATTTGTTGACTTTGTCCTCATTCATGGATTCAATATCATCACCATTTCCAAGTACAAAACTATCTCACTCCAGGATTCCTTTTTCTATGTGAAATGTTCTACATTGTCTAGGCTAAACTCCATTGTACTAAGTTAACTTCTAATAGGTGATTTAATTGTGTTTGAGTAGATGCATAGTGTTTTGTGTCAAGCATGAGATAAGTAATATGTATTGTTCTGTTGAGTTTGATGATGTATCCACATTTAGTGTTGTTTGACCTATTGGTTTTGCCTGGCCTTAAACCCACTATCCAGAGTAGATGTAATGAATCTCCCTGAAAAATGCCTCTCCTTAAGTGTATTTTGCTTGTTTAAATGATAGGGTGGGTACAAAATCTTTCACCTCTATAGAAAATTAATACGTTCCATTTGTTGTTTGAGATAAAAGAACAGAAAACAATGGAAGAAGCATTTGCAGACTTTTAGCAGAAATATAAATGACATGCTCCTATGGGAAAAGTGTCGTTTTAGGAGGAGGCTAAGATTTTTACAACAGGGAGTGCAAAATAGAATTGAAGCAACAGCAGATCTTCCATCAGATGTGAAAAATGGAGCAAAGTTAAGCTGTTACTGATATTGCCCATAGAATCAATACAGAAACATTCTGAAGAACTGGTATACCTGAACAATGCCTAAGCTTATTCTTTAAGGATTACCACTTGTAAAAATCATATGGTCCATCAGAAAAGTGTTCTTTTAGGTGGTGGCTATTGTTCATCTCTCTGCTGAAGTCTGTAAATGCTACTTCTGTTGTTTTTTGTTCTTCTCCTTTTATAAACCCAACAACTAGTGATTACATGTTCTTCAGCCATTATTTGGAACATGCCATTAATTTTCTATAGAGACAATGGACTTTACACATACAGGACAGTGACAATGTTCTCCAGAAATGTAATATAGCTGTTATATTTGGCATTATTACTTTGTTCTTTCATTTAAATTTTGATTATTGATTTAATCTACTGATATTATATTTTATATCATCTCTGAGAAACATAGCTGCCTTCTGATTAGTGATTTGAATTAACACAGTATTTACAGCTTTTGCTTATTTGTAAGAGAAACAATCTATTTTGCCTATTATAGATCTAACATTTATTAAAAGAATTAAAAGAAAAAAGTACCGCAAAAAATAATAAAAATTAAATATGTAATGTAAAACTGAAATAAATTATATTTCCTTGATTCTAAGATAAAATCCTATTCAATTCATGGTGTAAGTTTTGTTAAGTAAGAAAAGCAACAGAAATTCCGTGAAATAGATTACGTAATGTTCAGCAACATTATTTTTATCATCTTCTATATACACAATAATGCTTATTTTTAATTATTATGCCTTTGTGTCCTATATCTTAATTTAATATTTATCTTATATACTAGTACATTATCAATTAACAGGATTTTAAACTTATTTTTAATGTTTAAGAATCTTTTTGATAGCATTATGATGGAGTTTAATTTAAACACACACAGCTATTAAAGCTCGTTTGAACATGTATGAGCAATAGAGAAAGACATTATCAGCAGTCATCTCATGATGGCTGCTGATTGCCATTTTCAACTGAAAATATGACATTTTATGTATTTTTATTTTTTTCTTTTGAAATAGAAAAGTTGTATCTTAGAATCAAGGAAATACAGGTGTGTGTGTGTGTGTGTGAAAGCTGAAGTTGAGATATGAATAAATATTTTTATTATTATTGTAAAAAAAGTTTAATAATAACAGATTATTAATTTTTTTTTGAATTATAAGGATTATTATATATCAAAAGAAAGGATAAAATTATAAAATGATGCTGGAAAAAAAAAATACAATTAAATAACTATTCACTATTCTTTGAAGTGCAAAATAAACGTGTTTCATACTTAATTATATGAAATTTGATTTACAGTTACAAATATTGTTATTTATTTCCTTAAATTCAACATTTTCCTTTTATGAATTGTCAAATGAATGTTGTTATATAGGCTATAGCATGATATTTTAAATAGTTTAAACTTTTTGTAATTGAAATTTTTCTGACAAATATATAAAACTATTAACCGATCTGTTCACGGTATTAATATTTTTTATCTAAAAAAACATATAATTGTTGAAATAAGATGTTATTTTGATTTATAACAGCATTTGATTGAATATAAGCCAGTTAATTACTTTTAAAATTAATAAATTTAATATGATAATTTATGACTTTAAATTTTGATAATAGAAGTATGATTAATAAATCTGATGATTAAAAGAATTCCATTACTACAATGAAAATGGTGGTGTTCTAAAGGACATGATTAATTTCTGTTTAATATCAAGAATAATCTGAAACCAATGTTTTAATCTCATTTTAGTTTAGTTTCAAGTAGGCTTAAATTTTATAATTATTTCAGTTTACCCCAAATACTTTCTTCTGTAGAAATGAAAATTTAAATGCTAATCACCAATACCTTTTACTTCTTGTAACCCATTTATGGGAATCTTTTTCATTCTTCTTTTCATAGTAATTTGTAAAAACTTTACAATATCTTAAGCAGAAACAATATAAATAGATTAAAATGCCAAATTCACTAAAAACATTAAAATATAAAATGAATGTATTTTAATGATTTAACTGAATTTGTGAGTTAAAAAATTATTAATTCTTTATCCGATATCATGTGCTCTAAGTTTTTGTACTCTAATCAATTTACGTATTAATAGAAAATGAATATTTTCTTCAATTCATCCATAGTCTTCAACAAGTTCATTAACATCAATCAAGAAGAATGCAGCCATTTTTAATAATGTTAACTCTCAACTATTTAAAAATAATTATTTTCAGTCAATAATTTTTACATGAATAGAGAATTTATGTATAATATAAATTATGAGGTTTCTTATTCTGCAAATATTTTAGAAAAATAATTTTTATTATTAATAAAATTTAGATTGTTTTTCATAAATTAAATATTAAAAATGAACATTTAGTGTAGATAAGGAATATTAAATTCCACTTGAAAATGACCAAACATGATTTTTATCAAGTTAAAAACTATTGTCTATTCTTCTTTGTAATGAAATAAATAAATTTAATAGATTAGAAAAGATAGTTAACAGTTTCAGTTGGGGTTCACAGTAGGGGAAAAAATTATATAAAATTATTTGATCTGAAAATTATTTTTAAATTAGAAAATATTTATATTCATCAAATATTATACTTGATGAATATTGAAATCAAGCATTTTAATATACTTATATTAATACATTTTTCATTTTTAATAAAAAATTAAGACTATCAACAAGATGGAAAACTTTTAATAACCTGCAAAATTTTGATAAAAGTTCATTAAAATATATTTTAATTATTAAAACAGGATAGTGTTCTTTGCAAAGTAATTATTTACATTAATGAATTAAATCTTTAAATATTTTTTTTATCTGTCAATTTTAAAATTATAAATAGCCAAACATTTTATAAGGAAAATGTTCTTTTCTTTCTTAAAAATAAAGTTGTTTAATAAGATATAGAAATACAAGATGATTTCTCTGATGAATATTTGATTTATTTGACAGTTTATTTTAATAAATACTTTGATCGAATTGCATATACTGTATATAATGTTGTGAGCCCCACCACAACCTTTTCAATTATAACAGATGGAATTGAATTTTTCTGTTATTTTTCCAAATAAAAATTTCTTATTGTAAACAAGATTCATATAAAAATTACAATAAGGATTTGTAATTATTCCAAAATAGTTCTGTGGATTAAATATATGCTTTCATACTCTGTTTTAAAAGAATTGGAGACCTGTATTGTTTCATTTAAAACTCAGAGAAGTATTATTACATAGTTGCATCTTAGTTTATTTATTGATCATGGAGGCTGAAGTATAAAAATACACAAGCTAAGAAAGGAAAGGCAATTGATCTAAACTAATTGTTGTGTACAAGTGTAATGAATGTAATGTTTTATGTGTGATGTGTTTTCAAAGTTTTACAACAAATCATAAAAAGCTTTTGTGAGTTTAGTGTGTCATTCTTATACATAGGACGATGATACAAGCCACAAATGTACAAATATATTCACAAGTTTTACAGGTGGGAGTCTTTAACAGGTTATGAAAGCAATGTTGCAGATTGCTTGGACAGTCTCGATTTTATTTTCGCTGAAAGGACTGTACCTACTGCAATGAGTAAATACTCTTATGCTTTCTTTTTCCTACCTTAGACATTCCACACCATAATTTGATTTACCAATTTTCAATTACAAATACTGACATCAAGTCAGCAAAAGGTGATGTTTTATATACATGTGATAAGTTAAAGGCTGGATGACAGAACAGGCTCAGTCCCGTCAACCTGTATCTCTTATTTATTTATTCTATGATTCAATAATGAGAAAGATCTATACACATGAAGGGAAGGATATGAATAAAGGGAAAAAAATTATATTAATTATTCTTAACAACATGAGGTAATGTCATTTTTTTTTAATCTGGGATTTAGTGTGTATGTTGCAGCTAGACATTGATACCATCCAGCCTGGCAATGCATAATAAGATGGATGTCGATCTGGCAATTCAAAACTGTCACAAAAAATAAATGCACTTATCTGAAGACATGCACTTCTGATACTGATGAACACAAATGTGACTTGTTGATTACAAAAAAACAACATAAAACTTCTAATAAACATTTCCAGGCATCAAATCGGTTAATTAAAAGGGGAGAAAAAACTGATGGCAATTCAATATGGCATGATGCCAGATTCAAAATGAGTTGACGTGACCCATTTGAAATTCACCACTCGTATATTCTCTATACACCACACATACATCAGAATTTTCCAAAAATCTTGTTATGTACATGGTAAATATGTACATGAAGTCAGTCAATCAATTAGTCAAAATTTTGGTAAGTTCCATGACTGGCAGATCAATGCTTTGGTCTCTAGAAATATATCGGTGGAGTTCACAAACAATGGTTAGGATTTCCATTGTTAATACTATATGTGCTACAGGCTGTATACATTGCACATAATTTATAACTGATACCCATAATGTTCCATTCTTGGCTATCTATGACTATCTTTAGAACAGCGTCTTCTTTTTGCTGGAACACATTCTTGATGTTCTGAAATAAAAATGTTTTTATATATAAAAATTAAATATTTTTTAAAAATTTGAATGCTTTATTAATTGGTATTTCAAGTTGATTTGACATTTATAAGTATGGCTTTAAAATGAAATAAATCAGCAATCAAAATCCAATAATTTTGATATATAAACATTTTTTAAACATTATTTGTAAAATTAAATTCACTGCTTTAACATAAAATTTTGCATTATATAAAACAGTATGCAAATTTCACATTATTAATAAAGGAGAAAGAGATGCTTTCAATAAACCTAAAAATTCTAAATGTTTTAGTTATGCAGAATATTTGTATATGTATGAGAACTGAAATATTGATAACATTAATTAGTTTAATCAAATTTAGATATGATCTTCACTATTATACTATTACCATTAATTTTCCTGTACAAAATGATTACAAAGATGTCATCAAATATAAATTTAAAATAAACAAAATAAATACAAACCTCCGGATCCCCTTGTCTTTCTTTTAGCCGGAGTTGAATCATCGTCTTTATTTGCTTGTTGCCCGCCAATCAATTTAGAATCTTGTTCACGTCCTCGGGTATTGCGCTGTGCTCCACTTCTAGTAGGCGAATGCCTTTCCTGAGCTGCAAACGGAATAGTTTAAAATTTATTATTTTTAATATTAATAAATGTTTTTATTTCAGTTACATCAATCTTTAATATATTGAAGAGAAACAGAAAATTTACTTCTCTTCATACATTCCTCAAACAACAACAAATGCAAAATTACAATCTATTTTATTAGAGTTATTGAACTAAAATAGCATGAGTACATCTTAATATTTGTGCATAATGTCTTATTGTTTGATAATTCCAACAAAACAGGTGAACCGATTCAGAAAACTTTGGTAACTATTTTTAATTAATAAAATGTATTAAAAAATTTAATTTTTTCTGGAAATACAAATTAATTCCAAAGTATAAATATACAGTGGAATTATTTAAATTTTCAATATTTGTCACATTTTGATGACTTTTCCCCATATTCATCAGTATTTTCTGTATTTGTTGTCAATCCCAACACAGGCAGTTATGCTACAATCGCACGTCTGTGCCAATCAGCTAGTCGTGTTAGCTTAGTGTTGCCAATTTAGCTAATTTTTTGCTAGATTTAGTGGATTTATGAACATTCTAGCTATGCAAATTACCTGAATTATAATGGCCTAGCTATTTTTATAATGCTATCTAGTGAATACTATGATACGCTTCTTGTCTAGACTTCTTAGTGCTCACAAGTCATTAAGATTGGCCTTCCTTTACCACAGGACCACAAATTAAACTTAGAAAAATACTGTTTTATTTTCAGAATTCATTTCGGACTGGAGTCCCTCATCAGCTTTTTTGCTACAAAATTAAAAAGGGGGTGAACCATAATTGACACAAATGAAAAAAGGCTGTAGACTTATGATGTTTAGAACATTAAAAGATTAATTTTTTTTGTTTTATGGGGTGTTTATACATAAAATTTGGTAGTGCTGATACAATAAAACAGAATAATAAACTAAGGTACTGATAAAACAGTAAATTAGTAAAAATATACATGCCATAAAACAAAAAATTAATCTTTTAATGTTCTAAACATCATATCAACATATTAAACGTTAGTCTACAGCCTTTTTTCATTTGTGTCAATTACAGTTCTTTAAAATTGTTAACCCCCTTTTTAATTTTGTAGCAAAAAAGCTGAGGAGGGACTCCAGTCTGAAATGCATTCTGAAAATAAAACAGGGTTTTTTGGTCCTGCGGTGGTGTAATAAGTCTAGTGGTAAAGTAAGGCCAATCTTAGTGCTCACTAGCTATAAAAAATCAAACAATTTTAATGGAAACAAATGATTTGAATATTTAAATATTTTTATTAAAATATCTAGCTATAATTTCAAAATTCAAATAATTTTGAGTTGGCAACACTATGTCAGATAGCTGTATTTAGTCAGTCTGCTTTGTGCAGTTGTTGTCTGTGTTCTTGGTTTCTTGCATTTATTATTTTCAAAAACTCAAGTTCTAATGGCTCCAACAAAGTGCACTGGAGAAAAACAGCAATAATAATTTTTATCTCTATTGTTGTTTTTGCTAAGTCTGAGAATAGACAAAGTAGAGAGGTTACGGCTAAAATGTGAATGTCAAACGTTAAACACCGCCATCTTGTAATACTAGAAGTTTGACAATGGAGTTTGGAATGTCATTGGAATAATGCTCGACGTTCCAAATGTCATTGTCAAACTTCTAAGCTTACAAGATTTTGACATTCATGTTTTAGAGACAAAAACTTCAGCTAAAACCTCTCTAGTGTTTCCAACTTAGCCAAAGAATTTAATATGCCGAGATCATGATTGAAATTACCTAATGTTTTAATTGATTGATGTCTTCTTTTAAACAATAATAACCTTACTCTTCTTCCCTTCTACTATTATACTGTATTTATTTAGTACAATAAAGATAAAAATACAAAGTAAAGATTTACAAACAACAAAATTTTTATCTTTTTTTAGAATGGGAACAGATTAATTGAATATCAGTTATTTATTATGAGAAAAATTGTTTCTATGTTCATTATTTTCCACATTCGTTAGATCCTTAAGAACAAATTAATGATGAATATAGTAGTTACACTGTATTTGTTTTCTTAAATAACTATATTTTTGTACTATTATTTTATAACACCATCATTAATATTGAGGAAATATCAAACTACTTTTAAATATTAATATAATTATGTATTTTAAACATAGATATTGCATATACAAAAAGTTAAATTTTCAATGATGATTAATTCATATATTTTTATTTAAAATGAAAAATATTGCTGAATTTTAATAAATACTGGATATACCATGCTAAGATGAAAATTTACAAACCAGCTTGAATACCATATAAAATATTGCAAAAATTAGTTATTTTTTGGCATAGTAGTAACATAATTTATTCTTTACTTTTGGATGTATTATTTTTAAATACAGTAGACCCCCTATAACGCTGGTTCATATAATGCAGATTCGTATATCGCGGCAAAAAAATTGCGACCGTATTCATATAAAGATGCTAAAAGAGACTTGTAAAATGCGGTAAAACGTCAACAGGATTGGTCAAATCTGGACCAATAGTGGACGAGCAGCCGAACTACGGAGAGTTTAGGCAGGTAAGTTGAGTTTACTATCGTCTGTACAGTATATAGGCCTAAATTAGGTACTGTAAGTCTAATACAGTACTGTAATTTTATACATTTCTTATTCAACGGCCATAAAAATTATTTCTATTAATGATGTCTCTAAANGTTCGGCGCCGCTTTCCCGTAAGCCTAAAAGTTTGACGATGGTGTTTGGAATGTCGAGCGTGATTTCACCGACTATCCAAACACCATTGTCAAACTTTTAGGCTTACGGGAAAGCGGCGCCGAACGTCACATGTACACGTTTACACGTTTAAAACGTGCGCCTCAACCTCTCTAGTGCTATAGAGTGGAAAGAGCCAAAAATAAAAAAGATTTTAAAGTATTTTTATCATTAGTTTTGCTGTTGTAAAATTTAAAACTTGGCCAAAATAGCACTTAAATAATAATTATTTTCTAATGTTATTAATTCAAAACTAATTATATATCAAAAATACACAAATAAAATTAATTCAAGGTTGTGTGTAGATTTTTAAGAAATCATACAGCTGTCTTCACTTTTACCTTCAATATCTTTTTTTCATGATTTATTAACTAATTTAGTTAAAAATAGAAATTATACTATTAATTTATACTTATTTCATGTCCTTCCCAATATTATATTGCTAAATATTTTTGCTGTTATATAAGAATTATAGAATATATATCTTATTTTATCTTTTTCATTTTCCCTGATGTTAATCTTTAATTCTTGAATCAAAGTTAAGCAGATTCTACTGCATGTGAAATTTGTTATTACAATCACTTTGGGACTCAACTATTTTACTACAGTAAATCTACTCATTAGTGTATTTATATAATTATGAATAAAATTTATGAAATCCTTGGAAAATTTCTAAATCAAACAAATATAAGAATAATTTTTAATTTTAAATTATTTCAAAATCGATAAAGAATTAAAAAAACAAGTTGTTGTTTCAGAAAAACATATTATTTGAAGTCCTATTTATTGCTGATTGATTCACTTTACTTAAAATTAATAATTACATACTACATACTAGTAAGTAGCATGTAAAAAGTTTATTACATAATTAATTATTAAAATTCGGTGAATGTAATTAATTCAGAAATAAGAGGCATTGAATTTTACATAGATATGATGCCATTGTCAGAAATATTAATAATTAATATATAGCAATTAAATTTTGATATGCCTAATAAAAAGCTGTCTTGGATACCAAACTGGCAATATTTTTTATGTTAGACTAGCTGCAAGGACCCGCTTCGCTGGGTTTTTCTGAGTAATGTAGAATCTAGCTGCAAGGACCCGCTTCGCTGGGCAAAAAGTAACGATAGTGAACTAAGTGAAGATTAAGATAATTACATTATAGCTAATCTTACCCGTTTTCACAGAATGCAAGAATTAGGTCCCCCGTTTCCAGACTAATTAGAGAATTTTTACGTTTAGTCAAACGAACTATTTTCAACGTTTCTGGAACGTTTACAATCGTTCTATAATCGAA